TAAAATATGAAGATGTCATTTATCTAGAAGATAATACTTTCTTATTCACTCCTTCAAAAACTGCATCTGTCTTCAGGGAAACTTTGGTGGTAAATAATATTCACGCTGTGATCTGATGGTGGAAATAATCAAAACTGAAGTTTCTTTTTGGCAAAACTGTGTCCTTCGCCACAGTGTGGAACATACGGAAGATTCTACAGCAGTTTACAAATAGTTCTCTTTTGCAAACAGGTGACTGGGTAATGACAACTTGTTGAATATATTCACCGTGCATTTGTTCAGATCAAAGATTGATCTGAAGTAAAGGGATATGAGACTCAGCTTGTTCCCCATGCAGCCCTGTTCTTTTCCCCCTCAATTATTAGGCTCCACTTTCTTACTGAGGTCACAAGACAGCACTGCTGATGTGACCAAGTAAAAATCTACCAAATAATAAAACAGCGACTGCGTGGCAGCATGAGGACAATGCGTTAAACCACTCATTTCTCATTTCTCTCTGCTAAGTTATCCTTAGTTCAGTGAATCACCAATTAGGATCACAGGGCTTCTTTGAAGAAACAAAGTCCCAGTTTCAAAAGGTGCCCCGATTTTGGTCAGTCTGCTGCCACTGAACAGGAGCATCCAAATCTGGCAACATTTGCAAGTAGTTTTAATCAGTCTCGACTCTAAACTGAAATTCCTAAAGGAAAGACAATCTTGGGTCCTCATCCTACAACAAGGTTCCATATGAGCAAACGCCGATCCACATAAATTAGTACTAATCTATAAAGTGTAATATTCCTTGGCCTATATCTTCAGGTTATCGTGTGGGAGATTTATCTGTCCAGTCAGGTGGAGACTGCCTAAGCGAAAGCCATATATAACTTTCACTCCCAGGCATATGCTATTAAACGCACCGTACAATATTTTAAAATGATGAACGCATGTAGGGTACAAATGAGAGGGAAGCCATTTATTCTGAACATTTATCTCTGCCCCTTCCTGTTTCATCCTGCAGATATTTTTCTACTGCAGATATTATTTACTTTCCTATTATCCTGATGCACCTGTTGGAGGTGGGGAGGCAGAGCTTCCGCAGCATCAAAGCATGGTTCCCCCAGTTCCACGGCTCCCATGTAGAAACAGCTCCTCTGAAAATGGATCACAGGGTACCTCATTTTTATAAATTCTTTACTCCCTCTTGAAAATTTCCCTTTCAGTTGCCAATAAAGATTTAAATGCTTCTGGAAGAAAATTCATCCAAACGAACACAGCTGGGAATGACTGACATCAAGCATGAAGGGGGGATAAAAAGCATGTCAATGTTTCAACACGTTACTTGTTGAACAACTTCTACTCGGTTCATCTGCACGAAATGGGTGTGCCAAAAGTTGGACATGCCAGCAGATGGTTACAAGCACTGTTTGGCATGCATCTTGCTGCCGTTCCATACGCTGAAAGATGGAACACAATTCCCCTGAAGATACTCTATTTTCTAAAATAGTGATTTAGATAGAACAGAGAAATGACAGAAACTGTACAGTTGGGCCCTAGACCTTCAAGTCCCGTATCTGTGTGGTCTTGCTCGCTAATGTGATTTTTAGGATCTTTGAACAGCAGTCCTCTCTTTTCAGAGATTAGTGCTCCTTAACCATGAATGTGTGTCATAAGGACTAAGGGCATTTCTTTCAAGATGTCCATGTCCAGACCTCACCTGGGTCACTACGCTGACTCAGACATCCTGGGGTAGGGCCGCGTGTGTGCATTTTCAAAAGCTCACCAGGTGATTACAAAGTGCACCCCTGGTTGGGAACAACTAATCTAGATCATTTTTTTATACTGATGAGCAAATAAGTATAACACACAAACACACCTACAATGACCAATATAATTCTGCCTTATTCCTTGTGGCATTATCTAAATGTCTCCCTTTGCCATCCCATTCCTTCCTCTGGATTTCTTTCTTTGTAATAGTCTTGGAGCTTTCCATAGTTTGATAATTTTCCTAGACAAATCTTAGGCTAAATCAGTGTATAATAGGCACTCTTCACTTGGGGAGGCAGCGTGCCAACTTAGATCAGCAAATCCTTCCAAAATAATGCCACTGTAACTTAGTCATTTAACCAATATTTATTCAGCAGTATATATGTGGTGGGAAAGGCTAAGAATGCAAGAAAAACAAGATGTGGTTCTTGTGCCCTCAAGGAGCAAGTATTATGTAATTAGGGTAAAAATATATGGACAAGTTAAGAAAAGTTAAATAACCACATGAGAAAGCATGTGATTCCATATTAAATTACCAGTACTTACATTGAGGACTCTAAAAATTCAAAAGAAGTAGTGTTCGTTCCAGACACTCAACAGTCATGCCACATTTCTGAGAGGGCCTGGGGTTTGAAGAATGGGTAGGGGATAGATAGGCAAGGCAAAGGATATGGGTATACAGGCCAGGAACACAGCAAAACCAGGGCAGGAATGAACAAAGTATGGACAGTGAAAAGACAACCTTTTGGAAGGAAAGGGTCTTTTGGGTGACTGATACCAAACACAAAAAGGCTAGAGTCTAGCTAAGAGGCTAAGGAGCCTAATAATTTCTCCTATAGTTGCAGAAAAATCATAGGATGAAGGATGAAGATAGCAGCATTTCAGGAATTTCTTTGTAGCAAAATATCCATGAGTGTGAGATAAACAATAAGGAGAGCTATGAGAGTAATTAAGATCTGGGCCATGGCAGTGGCGTTACAAAGAACTAATGGAACTCGGTCAATGACTAGTTTGAGCTTCTGGCATGTAACAGAATGGAGGCATGCAAACAATAGGAGAAGGGAAGTCAGAAGGGGAAGCAAGTCAGAGTTGCCAGTTGGGAGAAAGCAGAGCGATGCCTCAGAAGAAACCTCTTCATTGAACACTTGACTTTGGAAGAACCCGGCAAGAGGAAATAACTTCTGCACAGAGGATGGAAGGGAGAGTGGGGAAAATAAGAGGTTGAAGACTGAATGTGGAGAAGAAGCCCAGTCGAGAAAATGGAAAAATGCAGAATAACCAATGCAAACAGAAGGCCTTGGGGAGGCAGGAGAATCTGGTGGGACTCCAGAGGTTAAGGAAGAAGAGAGGTTCAAAACAAAGTTCATCGGCACGGTCCTCTGCAACAGAACCAGTACTATCTCAGTGCTAGTCCCAGCGGTCCTGCCAAGTGCCCTAGCCCACAGCTGAACTTTCTCCTCTCATCGTTAGTTACTGACTGTCCATACCAATTGTGTAGCACACACACCTATTTGTTGTATAATACCACTGATGTACATATACTCAGGTATTTGTCATAGCTCTTTGACACTATTATAATAAACTTCTTGAGGAAAAAGATCATAATTGATACTTTCAGTACCACCTCCCCCTCTTCCCCCCCGTTGTGCCTTCACTTGCTATGTCTTTAGCAATCATTTAGAAATATTTTTAACTGGTTATAACTATGCAGATTCGGGGAGAATTCAAGGAGAAGACATGGATTCTGGTCTAGTGTTGAGTCCTGCTGTTTGAAGTGTGGTTCAAGGACCAGTGGCATCACCTGGGAACTTGTGAAAAATGCAACTGCATCTGCCATCCCAGACTGATAAGAGAATCTGCATTTTAACAAGATGTAGTGACGAATTCTTATACACACTGGTAAGGAAACTGGTGTGGACTCAGTATAGTGTAAAAGAACTTGCACTGAGCTACCAAAGAAGTCAGCTGGAGGAAGGGAAGATGGCATATGAGTTTCAGCATGTGGTTCCTGTGCCCAGGCCCAGCTTCGCCCCTGCTCAGACCCGCAGCCCAACGGAGCCCAGGACCTTTGCATGTATGGTGGGACAAGGCCAGGAAGCAATTCTACCTTTTGATCTGGAGCCCAGATGCATAAATCCTTCTTCCATAAGCTGCCACGGAGTTCAATTATAGGAAGGGCTTTGCAGATTTTATCTACTGGGTTGTTTTTCCAGGTTTTATAAATATTCTGACCTCCTAAAGATCCTGTTTGTGCTCCCCATGTTTATCCAGCCCTAGGAATTTAGGATATTATTCAGTCTCTAATTCATTTCTCCCAGAACTCTAGGTTTCCCCTCTAAGTTTTAGACTGCAATTGCTAAAATACTTTTCCAGCATAATTGAAAGCTAAAGCTGAAAAGGCACCTCCAACCCCAAACAGAAAGAACCTGCAACAAAGGGAGCAACGAGGACAGCACTATTGTTCCAAAGACCAGGTGTCAGGAAAAAGCTCCCAAAGGACAGAGCTGTTAGACAAAGGCACAGTCATATCCCAAAGGATGGAGACCAAACGGACCAATGAGCTCAAGGCCCAGTATCTTCCCTTTGTAAGAAATGTGCTCAATGCTTCATTATTTCTTTCTCTAACTTTCCTGTAGGTAAGTGTATTGAGTGTCACTATTTCAAAACAGCACGGTGCTAGTTCTCGGAGAGTCTTTTATTATTCTTAACTGCTTTATTGATATATAATTTACACACCATAAAGTTCACATTTCAGAAATGGAAGAGACCTTCATTCCATCCCCTACCTTAAAGCAATGCTTCATTACATTCACTGAAGGAATATAATACAGTTATTTCTTAAATCTCCAGGAATATGGGACATCGTCATGACTCTCTGATAATAAATCTAACATCTCAACTTTCACCAGTGGAAAGAACATCTTGACAAAGTCCCCTCTCTTAAAATGGCAACCGTTACAGTAATGACCTCTAGAGTTCTGTGTCAGAGATGACTGCCTGAAAACACCACGGCAGGTCCCTGTCATCCGCCTACTGCGTAGGAACTCCACGAGAAAGTGAACTTCATTTACTGAGGCCAAAGGGGAAATCACAAATTCTTACAAACTACTCTTCCTCCATTTTTTGGGTGGACTATTTTTCCACCAGGTGGCATCCTTTTTAGGGGCTGCTGGAGCCTGCGTGAAGCCTGTCTTTTTAGCCTCAGGGATGGGAAGAGTACTTGGGTTTTTCTTTCAAAAAGGAAAACAGCAACTCACATGCTTTCACAGAACTTCCTCAGCGTGCTTGGCTTCTCCTGGTTGCATCTTTGTCGAAACCAGCGTTGAATGCTGCGAACATCCCAGTCCAGCTGCTTGGAGAGGCCTTCCAATCTCTTTTCATCAGGATGCTATGAAACAAGGCACCAGCAAAATCATTTTCATCTTCACTATAAACGCATCTGCCCTTGTCTCAATTGAGATCCGCCCCCGCCCTCCCCCCCAATTTACTACCTGCTACTGAGATTTTCTGTATTTACTACTGAGGACCTAGACTTTCTGTTAGTAGCGCGGACATAAATAACCACTGAGGATTAAAAATGTTACTCATTAGGTAACAACACTGAAACACATGAATCTTGCTCTAACGCAGACACTTCTTATCAGCACAGAGGTGCAGTGAAACAGGCAACTGGCTGAGTCAGCGCCCTCAGCCTTCAAGAAAGGAGTTAGGTTAGGGTGAGTTGGCAAAGAGGCATCATTCAAAGGTTTCACTTTCTCAGGAAGAAAAAAATGCTAAACCTAATGATCACTCCTCAGGGTAACGTAGGGCAGACAAAAAAGCGGAGTAATCTCAACAGACCTCACTTCAGCCTAAGGCACCAATTCTCCCACAAAACCTGTTTTCCCTTTCCTCCTCTTCTCTCTGTTCTGCTGCTCACACATTCCTCTTCTATCCCTCTTCTTGGTCATTCCTTTTGACTAAATCCCCATCAGACCTTTCCATCAACTGCGCATAACTTGAAGACACCAACTTGGCGAACAGGGAAGGGACCCTCTTTCTGGCTCGCCATAGGATGATACCAGTCTGTCTCCCACTCATTTCTATGACATCAGGAGGCGACAGCCAGGTTCAACTGCCCACTCTAATCGCCTCTCAGCCTTGATTCCCTCACCTGTCAGGGTTATTTATCCACCTAAACAGGACTATGGTGATGACCAAATGTAAACAACATGTCTAAGACTCCCTAAACACTCGTTTCTCCCCTTTCTTACCTCTCTCCCCTCTCTTGGAGAGCTTAAAAACCACCCTGCCCGCAATTATGTGAACGTGTCCTGCCGCACAACAAAACTCAGCGGAGTGAGGTCCATTCCTTTATTTGTTCTATCCTTCCTTTACTATAAATGCCATGTTAGTGATCAGAGGAAATCACCAAAAATGGGATAGAGGAGGCAGGCGGAGCAGCCTCAAGTTACAAAGGTGGGATGTACCTATTGAGACCTTTTCAAAGCATCTCAAGCAATTCAAGATATCAGAGACACAGGGAGCACCGCAAGTGACCTCGGTATTATGACGGAGGTTATAAAATGCGCTGGGCTTCGGTCTGTGCGAGTCCTTTGCCAGCTTTCAGGGAGGTGTGTACTTTGACATGTTTTTGCTGTCAGTACTCATGATGCCGTCTACACTCTCCTTGTATGTCTATATTAATTAAAACACAGGGAAGACAGAAAATGCACATCCTGCTACATACCCTGGCTATACCATTTTCCTACCGGAATCAACTTTTAATTTCAATTTGTTTTCTCAGCTTATTGAACAGGTCAAACATTCACCTGGTTCACCAGTTAACAACTATGCAAAGTTTCCCCTTCCCATTTTACTCCTACTCTCCCCCTTCCTACTAGCTAACCAATTATTAAATCAATTCCTTTTCCAGAGTTACTTTATGCAAATATAAGTAAATTTGAACGTGTACTCTCACATCTCCCTTTGTCACACAAAGGGCTACATACTGCATGCATCATTCTGAACTTTGGGTTTTTTACTTTACAGTGTATCTTGGAACATTTCCGTATCAAAACAAAGAATGCCCTCTTTCTTTTGTGGAACTGTCGGGATATGCTATAATTTACTTATCCACTCTCTTGTGAGTAGATGTTTAAAGTGCTTCTAGACTTCCACTACGACAAACAATGTTGTAATTAATCATCTTGTCATCGGTCATGAGACAGGCATACACTGAGATAAATGCCTAGAAGCAAATATTGGAGATCAAAGACCTATGCATTTGCAAGTAATTTGCATATTTAGATATTGAAAAGTTACCCTCACTGATAATTTTCCCAATGTATACTTTCACAAGCAAGAGTGCCCACAAACATTTCTCAATGCCTCGCCAAAAGAGTACAGTATTCGATTTCTCAACTTTTTTTTCCAGTCTGATATAAAGTCATGTCTCAGTATATTTTTAACTTGATTTCCTCTTTTTATGAAACAGGAAAAACCATTTATGCTTCTTTTTTATGAACAGTCTTTTTGTATCTACTGCACATTTTTTCTTGATCTGTAGGTATTTTATCGATCTGTAGATTTCTTCATTTATTAGTTAGTGCAGTTAAACCTGTGTCTATAACATAGGTTGCATACTTTGTACCAAGGTCTTTGTGTTTTAGAATTCGTCATGGGGTTTTCTGCTTGTTTTTTATTTGAAGTTTTTAAAAAGCATATTTGAATTTATCAGTTTCTTCTGTTATAACTTCTGAATATGGGGTCATAATAAGAAGAGCCTTCCCTACTCCAAATGTTCAAGAAATTAACGTAGGAAGAACTGGCATCTTTACCCAATTTGTCTTTTGTATCCTTCGAGAGTTTGAAAATTTTCTTCACATCCCTTGCACATCCTTGTTACATTTATTCCTAGGGATAGTATCTTTTCTGGTGTTGTTTGTGGTAACTTTTCACTTGATTCCTTTACTTTTTCAAATAGGCAGTTAGATAATAACATGTAACTAGAATGTAAGCTCTATAAATAAAAAAGAAATTTTTAGTATCTTTTTTCATCTAAAATATAGTAGAGACTCAGTAAATTCATATACACACACACAGAATTGGTAAGTTATATTTTCCTAGAATAATTTCCATTTTACCCAAGTTTTTATATTTTCTTTGTCATATTAATAAAAATACATCCTTTTTATTTTCCTCCATTTCTGCAATTGTTGATTATTATGTTAATTCTTATGTTGTAAATTTGTGCATTTTAAAATTGGGTTAGCTAACTTTCTACAGATAAAACTACTTTTGAATTGATTTTCAATTCTATAGCTTTGCTGACACAATTTCTGCATTTATTGCTAATTTCTGCCTTCTGCTTGCCTTGATTTGTTTTGTGGTTCTTTTTCTAATGTTTAAGTAAGTGTTGAAATTTGAGTTTTCATCTGAGTACTGCTTTGGCACAGTACAAATGAGTGATGTCTTCATCCCCTCTGTTACCAAATATTCTGAATTTCTATTTTTATCCAACAGTTGATTAAGAAAGCAAGGAATTTTCTGTTTTCTGACTTCTAGTATTACTAAGTTATGCCTATTTTTATTTTTTTAAAGATTATTTATTTATTTATTTATTTGTCAGAGAGAGCATGCAAGCACAAGCAGGGGGAGCCGCAGGCAGAGCGAGAAGCAGTCTCCCCACAGAGCAAGGAGCCTGATGCAGGACTCAATCCCAGACACGGAGGCGTCCCAAGTTGTACTTATTGTTAAAATCTATTACAGTTGTATATATAAAATAAAGGTTATTTTTGTAAGTATTTAACAGATATTCCAAAAGAAAGCATGGTCTTTACATTCAGAATATAGGGTTCTATATGTACCACTTAAATCTTCCTCATTAATTATGCCTCTTAGAATTTCTATCTTCTGTTTTACATTTTGTTCACTTAATCTGTCATGACCCAGAGGTAAATTAAAATGTCTTGCTATTAAATTATTTCTTCTTTCATTCTTTTTTTGAGTATATGGATACATTGACAATGCATATTAGTCATAACCACTTTATCTTTATTATGAATTGTATCCTTTGGCAAGAAAAAGCCAATTCTTCTTTTCACTTCATCCTTTCTAGCCTGAATTCCACTTCATGTAAAAATAAAAATCCTACTTTATTATTTGTATTTGTCTGTATACTGTTACTCATACTTTTATTTTCAGTATTTGTAATTACTTTTTCTGCAGGTGTCTCTTATCAGCTACATGACCCAAACCTAAATTAGTTTTTATTAGATGAGCTGGACCCATTTACATATATTGATATAACTGATAAGTTCATTTATAGTTCTGTCAAATTAATTGTTAGGTTGTTTTGATAAAAAAAAAACTTTTAATCTTGGCAAACCAAATATGGTTTTATTTTACTTCCATTTTGTGGGTAATTTTTGTTCTAGATGTTACCCATAATTGTAATATTCTTCTTCTGTATGTTTTCAATCAATAATTCCATATGAGCAGTATTTAAAATTAGCAAATTTCCTCTCCCCTCCCACCCAACATTAGACAATAATTTTTATCTCTTTCACAGTTTACTCTTGTATTATTAAATATGCTTATGCTTCTATTACTTGATTTGGCTGCTTAAACTGATTTGCTTTGACTCCCAGCTATTAGAGACTACACAATTAGTGAATTTATTCTACCTCCCGCCTTTTTCCCCGCCTTTTTCCCCTCCTCATCTCAAATACTGTTAGTTGTATCACTCCTACACTGTGAGAGCATATAATGTTTACATGCTGTCCTGTCATCCTAACCCTCACATTTAACAGTTTAGATATTTTCAAACCTTAACAACACTCTAGTAACCGCTTCATTGGCTAAAATAAATGATTATAATAGTTTCTTCAAAAGGACTCATGAGAACAATTCCCCCAAATTTTTGCATGTTCTAATCTGTTTGTCTAGGAAGCCTGGGTAGCTCAGTCGGTTAAGTGTCTGCCTTTGGCTCAGCTTATGATCCCAGGGTCCTGGGATCAAATTCTGTATCGGGCTCCTTGCTCAGCGGACAGCCGGCTTCTCCCTCTGCCTGTCACTCCCCTGCTAGTGCTCCCAAATAAAATCTTTAAAAACAAAACCTGTTTGCCTTTAACAGTTACAGAATAAAAACAATTTGCCTAAACATGAAATTCTTAGTTCACATTTTCCTTGAAAATGTTGGAAGTGTTGCTATAAAGAAGACCAAAATCACGTTGATAGTTTTTCTTAAATAAGTGATTTGATTTTTTGCTCAACTGCTCAAAGAATTCCTTCTTTTATTTTTCAAGTCCAGTAATTAAAACTTGTTTTAAAACTTCAATTTTTTACTACATATTCATTAACATTAAAATAAATCTCCATTTATTTTAGAAGTATTTTTTGGGGGGTGCCTGGGTGGCTCAGTTGTTAGGTCATGATTCCAGGGTCCTGGGATCGAGCCCCACATCAGGCTCCCTGCTTGGCGGGGAGCCTGCTTCTCCCTCACCCACTCCCTCTGCTTGTGTTCCTTCTCTCGCTGTGTCTCTCTCTGTCAAATAAATAAATAAAATCTTTTAAAAATTTTTCTTGAATTATATCTTTCAATATTTATTCTTTGCTTTTTCTTGAGGTATTCTAATAATGCAGATGCTGGATCTGCTTGAGCTATATTTCTGATTATTTTTAGCTCTTTTTTGTTTCATTTAATTTCCTTTTTTTTTTTAAGATTTAATTTATCTATTTGACAGAAAGAGAGCACAAGCAGAGGGATCAGCAGAGGGAGAGGGAGAAGCATATGCCTATAATTTTTTAAATACAAGGTAACATACCAAAAGTGGATGATGATGTGATTTCTCTGGATCATAAAACCTGGCTTCACAGCTGACATATATATTTTTTTCCCTCAGTGGCTCAAGAATTGATTTGATTAGAAAAGTGAAGCTATTAGGATTATAGATATATGCCAATAATATGGCATGAGAATCGCCAAAATGTAATAAATAAATATAAATGAACAAATATACACACACACTCTAATTTATTTATACCAGATATACACAGAAACAAACAGATGCTACCTCAAAAGGAAAGACTCTTAAAGAAAACAAAGGGGTTCAAATTCATCAGATAATTACAGAGATGAGAACTACACAGTCACATCATGTGACCACTATGCACTTTCTGCATAGTCAGAAAGACCTACACTTGGGGTTTCAAGTTCTATGGCTGTTATCTCAAAATTCTTAATAATTTTGTTACAGGACTGGTATTTTGTATATGAAGTCCAGTGGGACAGAGGAACATGTGTCAGGAGCTCAGTCTTAGCTCATACACAGTCCTACCACTTCCCCTTGACAAGTTCTGGGGAACTCACTTCTCTGTTCCCTGGCTCCCCAAGCTCCCCACCTTCCTCTCCCTTCCCACTCTGCCTAGTGATTACTGCTGCCTTGGTGCAAGCATGGAAAGGGCAAGAGGTGGGTGTGCCTACTGCACAGTATCTCAATGTGGGACATGGAGACAGCCATCTGCACCCTAGGCTGGCACGTCCCTGTGTATTTGGTGGGTGAATCAATAGGGGCAGGTCTCTTCCTCACCCCAATCCAGGTACCAAGTGTGTCCTGGTGTAGATACTGCAATACACTTCGGAATTACCTGTACCGTGGATTGGGGTAGTAGGCTCATGGAAAGGGGAGAAGCCTGTCTCAATTTGCCACCCCTGGCCAGAGAAGGGTAGGTATGCAGGCTACCCCGCATCTTCATTCTGCATTGGCCCCACAAATTATGTAGTCAGTCCTATACAGAGCATATTATAACGGTTTTGGGTTTTTTTTTTTAAGGATTTTATTTATTTGACAGAGATCACAAGTAGGCAGAGAGGCAGGCAGAGAGAGATGGGGAAGCAGGCTCCCTGCTGAGCAGAGAGCCCGATGCTGGGATCGATCCCAGGACCCTGGGATCATGACCTGAGCCGAAGGCAGAGGCTTTTAACCCACTGAGCCACCCAGGCACCCCTATTTTAACAGTTTTGAGAGTGCATCCCTACACGTTTGAAAGACGGTAACCATGCCCTTCTCCAACAGTGACCTGAAATCATGGTCAGGCCAGGCTGTTGGGATGATCACTCAAACACACACAAAACTGCTGAGACCCTCTGAGTGCTGCTCCTTCTATTCTGGTCACCTGACCCATTACTTTCTCATATCAGAAATAACACTGGACAACTATAAAGAATTCAGGAAAAAACTCTTCAAAATTTTGCTGCATTTATGTTTAAAACATGAGGTTTCTGCTCTAATCACGTAAAAATGCCCAACAGAATCACCTTGGAAAGTAAGAGAGTATGATTAAAATTAGCCAGAAGCAAATATACTCTAGAGCATTCAACCTGACTGCAAAATCCTTTTATTACCTTTATAGAGGAAACTTCTCCAGTAACCATAATAAACATAAGGCAAGGGAATAAAATGTCCACTGCAGAATTTCTAAAGGAAACTTCTCCAGTAACCATAATAAACATAAGGCAAGGGAATAAAATGTCGACTGCAGAATTTCTAAAGAGATACATCACATTTGGGTAGAAAACTCATTTTATTATGCACTTAGAGGAGTTCACAAAGTGAATACAAGTATATTATAATCTCATTTTAAAAAACCTGATAACTTCCTACACTTCTGCTTTTTCACAGGGAAAGAAGTGTCTCCTGCAGTAAGTTGATATGTTACATGAAAACACACGTTTTTTCTTAGTATTTTCTTCCTTTAAGTACCATAAGATATGTGCCCCTTAGGGTTAGAACTTGGCAATCTAAAATCAGCCCATAAAACTCCAGAAAAAGAGTTCTTCGAAAAATCTCATACATTCTTCTCTTCTTCCCAGCAGAGATATGAAAAGCACCTAGTGCTTTCTTCTACTTCTCCAGGAAAAATACCATTTTTAAAAGAATAGAGGAGAAAATCCTAGTGAAACTTGGCGGAAGACCGTAAGATAAACAAAAATGTTTGAATAGCTGAATTAATAGTTTTCAGACAAGAGGCAAGTAATACCAATGGTTAATGATATAAATACCAAAATAGGAATAAAACTTGCTTAACGCTGTCAAACCACATTTCAGAAGCCTGAGTAATTTTCCCAGAAAAATGAAAAAGTGAAAATGAACCATTTACTATACAAACACACAACACTTCTCCTAGAATGTTACACCCCACCTGCCCTTTCTCATCTCCACCAGAGTAAGATAAAGAGAGAGATACGAGTAAGAAGATACTTGGGCACTGTGATGTGCTTCCTTTCCTCATGGCCTTGGACGGTTTGTGGCTTGGTCTTTCTCCTCCCTTCTTTGTTCTTAAGGCGCCAATTTTCCCCTTGCCTTGCTCTGCTCCTCCTGCCCCTAGTTTGGACTTTAACTCACCACAGTGACGATCTCTTCCCCTACTTTCTCCACAGGGAATCTATAGCTTAGAACTCTCCAGACCCGTCCTTTATTCTTTCATGTTGCAACTTTCCCGTCCTCCATTTACTCCCTCATGTTTACATCTGCTAAGTATGGAAACTGCAGGAACATGAGGACAATGCGAGAAGCAGATGGGCTCTTTTTCTCACACACAAAGATCACTGCATTTTTCACATATTGAAGGTCTGTGGGAACCCTACATCGAACAAGTCTATCGGGGACTTTTTTTTTTTTTTTTTTTTAAATAGCATTTGCTCACTTTGTGTTTCTGTTTCATGGTTTGGTCATTCTGGCAATATTGCAAACCTTTTCGTTAGTACTTTATTTGAATTGCTGCACTCTCTTGACAAATCCTTAATGGATGAGAGGTAGCTTCTTATGAATGAACCAAGAAAGTGGTTTCTTGAGATGGAATCTCTTCCTGGTGAAGATGCTGGGAAGATTGTTGAAATGACAAGAAAAGATTTAGAGTAGTACATAAATCGAGTTGATAAAGCAGTGGGTGGAGCCTGAGAGGACTGACTCCAATTTGAAAGAAGTTCAACAGCGGGTAAAATGCTATTGAAAGGCATCGCTACACGAGCCACCCATGCTAAAGACACGTTGCTCGTGAAAGGAAGAATCAATCAATGCAGCAAACTTCATTACTGTCTTATTTTAAGAAGTTGCCACAATCACCCCAAACTTCAGCAACCACCACCCTGATCAGTCAGCACCCATCAACATGGAGACAAGACCTTCCACCCAGTAAACAGGTCACAACTTGCTGAAAGCTCAGATGATGGTTGGCTTTTTTAGCTATAAAGTATTTCTTAATTTAGGTAACTACATTTTTTTTTTTTTAGATATGATACTCCTGCTTACTTAACAGACTGCTATACAGTGGAAAAAGACTTTTATATGCACTGGGAAACCTAAACAACCATCTGACTCGCCTTATTGTGGTATTTGCTTTATTGCAGGGGCCTCTGACTAGACCCACAATATCTCCAAGGTATGTATCCCTTTACATTCATTATATTCCTCAGCTCTGCCCAGCCAGCTCCACAAAATCCCATCCAACTGTTATACGTCCTGCTTCATGTCATGGGAGATTAAAAGAGGCACAGAATTAGACTGATCACTGTCCAATCTAGACTGTTCTTCACAGACAAGCTTCTAAAATCAACGTGAGAGGAAACAAACAGGTCTCAAACACATCCACTTTTATTCAGCTTCTTCCCAGCTTAATTTCCAGCATGAGGCTGGGCAATTAGTTCTCAAACCCAGGAGGAGAGAAGGGATTAAATAATTTCAGAGTGAGAATGGTGGTCACGATAATTCACACCGTACAAAAGGACAATCATACCTTCGTAATTGCAGTGAAGACCTTTTCCAGAATGGCATTTGGCTGGGCAATTTGTGGTCCATTGGCCTGTATGTTGAGGGCTATGGCACATGGTTTGGCTACAAATCTTTAAAAAAAAAAACAAACAAACAAACAAACAAACAAAAAACAGAAGAAGTTACTTTTTCTATAACTGTTCTTAACGTCACCAATTCATTACATAATACTCAGCTGTCCCCATAAAGGGCTGGGTGGACACTACCACCACACATACGTCGGTCACTACAAAACCAATTTAACTTTTTTTCTCTCCTTTAGTCTTCTAGCAGTAACAGTAAAAAAAACATGTAAATCTCCTGATCCTTAAGTTCTGAGACTGAACAGGTAGAAAGACCATCAAATGACAAAGACAAGTACATAAGTAAAATAGAGAAGCAAAACAAACCATCATTTTTAAATGACATAATTTATGTTTTTCTTACTAACATCTGGCTAGCAATTGTCATTGTTCATACATTTTTGCTGTGAGAAAGTATTTACTACCCATCTGATGACACATGGGCAATGGTACCTTTGATCACCCCTACATCATAAAATTGGCTATTTTGCTTTTATAATCAAAGCACACTAAATTCAGCACCAATTCCTTATGGCTTCTTAAAATTCCTGCTTTGTGGTTATTTCTGTCTCTCTCATATGGAGTAATGAACAATGTCAGACAGCATGATGTCCCAGACAAGTCGAAAAGTCTGAAATGATTACGAGCATCTGCTGCACTGTTTTTATCCGAAGTGAAAGACTATGTTAAGAAGAATGGAAAGACAGAGCTTCATTTCTGGTTGTGTCTGATATGCGAATGAGTAGGAAAGGGCATGGGCCCCCAAAGGTAGGGTGACATCTCTAAGGCTTTTTTTTTTTTTTTTACACATTTACAACTTTAAGAGTTGTTTTAGCCTAAATGTTCCAGAAATAAGGTTTTGTGAATGTTCTTTTCAGTAGTGACATTTAACGTTTTCTACTAATACAAAATAATATAATACCAGATGAAAAGTATTACCCATATTAATTTAATGTTGGCCAAATCCAATAACTAATGAGTGTACAAAACAGATCATGAAGCTTCTTTAATATTAGTTGACAAGATTAAAGAACAGTAGACAAAGGAATTTTTTTTAGGTGGGACCAATGAAGTTTACATACATACACCACTTGATATCCCACTGGGTCCTATTTGAAGTTAAAGAGAAGACATTTATTCAAACAGAAAAATGGAAGACTGTACATGCAAACCTAACCCAGGAAAGATATACACAGAAAATGTGATATAATACCTGCTTTGCAGGGCTCTCTGGGACAAAGTTAGAAAGAATATCCTTTCTTAGTATGTAAGTGTTCTAGAATCTGGAGTTTCCCCCCAAACGTGCATCCTCAATTCTTTTTGTTCTAAGTTCTAAGTTCTAAATATGTTCTAAGACTTATTACCCTTGCCCCTACGTTCTTAAAGAAACATGTAATCTTTTTCACTCTGGGTCTTCACTATGAACAATAATCATGGAACTATGGCTATAGCTTATGGAAAAAAATGAGGATTGATAGGTAATGCCCACAGAGGAGAGTCCAGAACTTGCTTTCTTGACAAAGTTTCCTGCTTTGTGGTTTTCTGCCTCCTCCTTATGATTGGAGTGTGAAAAGATACAAGGTCCAGCAAGAGTGGGGGAAAAAGATAAAATGGCAAGATTAATTTGGTGTAAGGGCCAACATCAACTTGTCATTGGTTGCTTTCTACTCTTCCCCGTCAGATTTCTCCCCTGCCTTCCCTCATCTTCTCTATCCCCACAACTTTTAAAATATTGTTCAAATTTCCTTTCTGAATATGCCATCATCCTTTTAACAACCTTCTGTCCCAGTTCATGGTCTTTTTTCCATCTTCTAAAGAGTTAGAGTTGAAATGCAGAGGATGATTGTTTCACTTCTGAATATACCATGGCAATGCTTATTTTCCTAAGAGTATCCCTAAGTATAAGAAAATATAGACATTTTATTTTGCGTTTGTTCCCCGAAGACTTTGTGAATCACTGCTGGGCATTTTGTTTCTTCAGAGAGAGTACGAGATATCAAATAAAACCCATGACACAACTACCATAATTTTGTTACCTAGCATCATGGTTTATTAGAGAAAAGCTTTTTTTGTTGTTGTTTTTTGGGGGTTTTTTCCCCCAATGCTGCCTCTAACAGAAATAAATTCACAAGAGCAGTCTTTCACAGGTTTGTAGAGACAGAGAGATAGATGGAAGTGGGGGTAGGAGGCATACCTACAAATACAATAGTTAAAAGGAAATATGTTCTTTCAAACTTTGATGATTACCTTTATAAGGAAATGCTCACCTAATTACTTTATCAAAGGTAGCAACACTGCCTTCTCAAGATCAAACATCTATAAAGTACTTTCATGTAGTAGAACATACGTGCAAGGGAACATAATAGGGTAGGAGCTTTAAAAAAAAAAAAACGGTCTTGGTTTAAAAGCAGAGAAAATACCTAAGACATTTCTACTTTTTAATTCTATTTAACCACACGTATTTGTATTTTAAACAGGAATTGAACATCTCTGCACAGAGCACCAAAGTAAGTTCTGGGCTATGGTATGGCTAAAGGTACAACAAAACACAAAGTGATTATTGCACTCAAAATGTTTACAGTATGTTAAAGGAAATTAATTTAAAAAAAATAAATGAATGTGTAGAGGGCAAATATCAGTTCTAACCATGTAACCTTCAGTGCGGAACATAGCCAGAGACTTTTCAGTCCTTTCTGACTCTAGCATTTCCTGCACTTTCCAAAACAGCTGTAAGGCTGCAATGGAGGATACGTAAACCTAAGTATGGTGTAAATGTATAGAATTAAATCACACACACACATACGCACACATGCACAAATGAGTATAAGTACACCCGGAGAACAAGTGCAACAGATTTTATAAATATCATTATCATTATTCTGGTTGTGACATTATACTATAGTTTTGTAAAATGTTACCATTGGGGGAAACTGGATTAAGAGTGCATGACCTCCCAGTATATTACTTCTTAAAACTGCATGTAAATTTATAACTATCTCAATAAAGATTTCAGTTAAAAAATAATTAGAAAAATTCTCTTTTTACAGTATGGAGTTCTTCAAAAAGTTAAAAACAGAACTATTCTACAACCCAGTAATTACTCTACGAGGTATTTACCCAAAGAATACAAAAATAGTAATTCAAAGGGATACATGCACCCCAATGTTTTTAGGAGCATTATCTACAATAGCCAAATTATGGAAACAGCCCAAGACAACTGATGAATGGGTAAAGAAGATGTATATTTACACAATGAAGTATAACCAGCCATAAAGAGGATTGAAATCTCGCCATTTGCAGCAACATGGATGGAGCTAGAGATAGCATAATTCTAACTGAAATAACTCAATCAGAGAAAACAATACCATATGATTTCACTCATATGTGGAATTCAAGAAACAAAATAAATGAGCAAAGGAAAAAGAGAGGCAAACCAAGAAAACAGACTCTTAACTATAGAGAACTGATGGTTGCCAGAGGTGAGGTGGGTGGGGAGGATAGGTCTAACAGGTCCTGGGGATTAAGGCATTCATTTGCTGTGATGAGCACCTGTGATGTATAGAAGTACTGTATCACTATACTGTACACCTGAAACTAATATAACACTGTAGATTAACTAACTGGAATTTAAATAAAAACTTCAAAAAAAAAAAAAGAAAAGAAAAAAGGGATGGGGATAGAAAAAAATGTGAAACTGTAGATTAATTATCTCTACTGCTGAAAAGACAATTTTTTTTCCTATAGCAGTGGTTTTTTCCTAATTTTTTAGTTTAAACTCAATTAATTAACATGTAATGTATTATTGGTTTCAAAGGTAGAGGTCAGTGATTCATCAGTCTTATATAATATCCAGGGCTCATTATATATTATATCACATGCCCTCCTTAATGTCCATCACCCAGTTACTCTACCCCACCCCAGCAGCCCTGTTTGTTTTCTATGCTTGAAGGTATGGTTTGTCTCCATCTCTGGTTTTGTCTTGTTTTATTTTTTTCCTCTCTTCCTGTATGATTCCCTGTTTTGTTTCTTAAATTCCACATATCAGTGAGATCACATGATAATTTTTTTTCTCTGACTCACTTATCTCACTTAGCATAATACCCTCTAGTTCCATTCATGTCATTGCAAATGGCAAGATTTCATTTTTAATGGCTGTGTAATATTCCTGTGTGTGTGTGTGTGTGTGTATCTGTCTGTCTGCGTGTGTGTCTGTGTGTGTCTGTGTGTCTGTGTGTGTGTGTACACACATCTTCTTTATCCATTCATCTGCTGATGGACATCTTGGCTCTTTCCATAGTTTGGCTATTGTGGACATTGCTGCTAGAAACATTGGAGTGCAGATGCCCCTTCGGATCACTACATTTGTATCTTTGGGGTAAATACCCAGTAGTACAATTGCTGGGTCATAGGGTAGCTCTACTTTCAACTTTTTAAGGAACCTCCATACTGTTTTCCAGAGTGGCTGTACTAGCTTGCATTCCCACCAATAGCGTAGGACTGAAAAGACAACTTTAGAAAGGTGATAAGTGGGGCACCTGAGTGGCTAAGTGGGTTAATCCTCTGCCTTCAGCTCAAGTCATGATCTCAGGGTCCTGGGATCGAGCCCCGCATCAGGCTCTCTGCTCAGCAGGGAGCCTGCTTCCCCCTCTCTCTCTGCCTGCCTCTCTGCCTACTTGTGATCTCCCTCTCTCTGTCAAATAAATAAAAAAATAAAATCTTTTAAAAAATAAATAAATAAAATTAAAAGGTGATAAGCAGAATTTATTTTTTTTAATATTTTATTTATTTATTTGAGAAAGAGAGAGAGAGAGAGAACATGAGCAGGAGGGACAGGTAGAGGGAGAAGGAGAAGCAGACATCAGCACGGAATCTAATGTGCAACTCAATCCAAGGGCTCTGGGATCATGACCTGAGCCAAAGGCAGTTGCTTAACCGCCCAGGCACCCAGAGCAGAATTTCTTTCTTTAGCTTTAGTGCCTCACTGTGGGATTTGTCCATACCTTTATGTA